CCCCCTCGCCCGCCCCCGAGAGAGTCATGTGGCAGCCAGCGCACCCAGCAGCCTTGGCTCAAGACAGTGGGCTCGATCCTGAGCACTCTCAGGGCCTCGTGAAGCCAAGAGAGCCCTCATGCATCAAGAAGCCTGCTGCAAGAGGCCCAGGAAGCAGAGGCAGCTGAGGGGCTGGAAAGAGGAGATGACACAGGTGAAAGCAGCTTGTTGACTCTGGATGAGCAACATGCAAAGCATGATTTACCTAGGATGCACCTGCAGCTGGGGAGGAACGCACCAGTGCCCCCAGGATCAGGGTAGGTATTGGAGGGATGTGATGGCCCCGATCCTCTGCGTGAGTATCCCTGAGCAAAAATAGAGACTGCAGGTGTTGATGTAGCCCATGAGACCAGGAATAGAGGGTCCAACTGGGGAAGAGATTATCTGGATGCACCCCTGTTGCTAAGGGCAAAAGAAAGGAGGGGAGAACCTGTTCGATGGTCCCTGCCGTCATGACTGCTGGCCCCAGCGCTCCATCTGCAGGAGACACAGCGGGAGTCAGAGCCCCTGGTAGCTCAGAGAGAGGCACAAAGTAGAGAAGTGGTTTCTGTTACAGTGCCCCAGCCAGGCAACGAGGACTAGGACCCAGGTAAGGTCACCCTTCGGGAGCAAAATAGAGACTTCTGCTGGGAGCAGCTATGGTAGAGATGCAGCTGAGGCATGGAGAGGAACCCCTCTAGCAACTAGCAGCACCTCCTTTTTCCTGCTGGGGAGGAAGAAGCATCAGGTGCATTAATCCTGCCACCCACGCATGTCAGCAAATATGAGTTTGGCTAGGAGTGGCCGAGAAAAGCCAGACAGACACAGAGGGATTAGCTGCACAGTACCAATGCAACACCCTTGTCAGGCATCTAGGTGGATCCATACAAGAGCATCCAGTCTTACCACAGCACGGGCCCAGGCAGGACTCTAGTGAGCCTGGGGCTGCTATTTGATTGAAAAAAAAAAAAAAATAGCCACCAGCCCAGAAGCTGCTGGTAGGTATCAGGGCATAAATGCACAGCCCCATAGTGGAGTGGGAGAGGTAGCTGGTCTTGGCACTGTTACCACTAGAGCAGCTGGGAAAGGAATCCGGTCCCTGGACTTTCCTTTGGGAAGTAGAAGCTGCCTTCCTTGTCCTGTGCTGCCATCGTGTGATTAGAAGAAGCAACGAGCATCAGGGGAGCCTCCGTATCCTCCTAGAAATAGCGGTGGATCGTAGACCCAATTCCACCCCAGCCACAGCCACAAGGGACCCTGCAACCAACGGCTGTGGGACAAGCTATGCCACCCCTATCCCCCCCACACCTGGCTCGAGATCTGCAGGAGAGCCTAAGCCCTGCGTGAGAGCTGGCCAAGGGGCAGGTGAAAAGGAGGAAGCCAAGGTGCGTACTAGAAGTGGCAAGAGAGAAGGAAGAACAGCGCGAGGGGAAAGGCTTGGGTCCGAGAAGAGCTGAGCCATTATTAATAGGTGCTATTTGGGAATTTGTGCAGTGCCATTTCCACATCTAGTCCAACCCCTGCTCGAAGCAGGACCAGCCCCAACTAGACCATCCCAGCCAGGGGTTTGTCTACCACCAGGCCTTAAAAGCCTCCAAGGATGGAGATGCCACCACTTCTCTGGGTAACCTGTTCCAGTGCTTCACCACCCTCTTAGTGAGAGAGTTTTTCCTAATATCCAACCTAAACCTCCCTTGTTGCAGCTCGAGTCCATTGCTCCTTGTCCTGGCAGTTGGACACTTCTCAATTTGGGATAAAAAAAAAAAAGCATTGAGACCCCCCTCACAGGCACTCCAGGGCTCAAGCTAGGCTACAGCTGCAATGCAAAGGCAACCAGAGCCCTAGAGTAGACACAGCTCTGCCGCCTAAAAGAGCCGTTTCTGCAACCCAAGCTCCATCACATTGCCTGAACAACAGAAGTGTCCACATAGGGAGGCTTGTTGAAAGAGGTCATTTCCCAGCGGTGGCTGACAGCGCCGTGTTGTGCACACAGGGTCCTGGTTCTGCCTCTCCTTTGTGCTTTCCTCCGCCCTTCCAGAGAAGCAGCAGATGAGACACAAGCAAGAGACTCCCTTTGAAAGTTTTCATGTTATTTTAATGCAGTATCAAGACGCTGGAAGCTGCCACCATTGCTGTTGAGCCCAGATGTCCCCGCAGAGCCGTACATGCCGTGCCACAAGCTCACTGCTGCTACAGTTCTTGGTTAAAGGGCTTCTCACTGCGCCAGCCCCATCCACACGCCACGCTGCCCCTCCTGACTCCTCAAGAGGCTGCCACTTGTGTGAGTGGCTCTTCCAAATACTGGACCAGCGCCTGGGCCTGTCGGGAGAGATTAAGATGTAAGCCGAGCACGAGGGTCAGCAAGTAGAGCAGAAGCAGCTCTCAGCCTGGATTAGCTCTACTGAAATCTAGCCTCTCTACCCTGGGCCACTGTACTGAGAGCAAAGTGCCTGTATTTAGGTGCATACCACAAGCTCCCACAAGTAAGTGACAAGCACCTTGGTTTAGGGAAAGCAGGATGAAGCCGGGGGTGGGGGGGGGGGTGTCCTTTTAACCCACTTGTTCAGTAGAAGATACTCCCCTGATAGGCAACATTCAGGAAAGGTGAGTGCATGCTATGTGGATCAATATGGTAATGTTCCCTCCTTCCCCTCCCATTTTAAAGCAGGGGAGACTGAGGCATGGTGTCTTGCCAGAGGCCGTGGAGCTGAGCACAACAGAACCACTCTCAATTCACAAGCCACGACCTACCTAGAAATTATTTTTATGGCTCCCTGCAACACTCATATAACCCAGACTATAGGCCACGATTTTGATGTTTCTTCAGAGCCAATTCCAGCATCACGCAGGGGCTTTTAAAAGCTTGTAAACACTAATTTCCTCCTGCGCGGGAGACACCCTTTAGAGAGCTGGAAGGTGCTTCCAGAGGCCACCTTAAAGCAAGACTAGTTTCTGTATTTCCTACGTAAAATGCTCTTTCACCAAAGGTCACATTGCTGTATTCTTCAAGTCAAATTTGTACTAAACATGCTTTTCACTGTGCAGTGACACAGCCACCCAGCCATTCTCAGCTCCTCCTCCTGCCCAGGGAGCTCAGCATTACCTTGGCTTTCAGCATCCCAAATCCAACAGTCTCCTTTGCGTACATGCACAGCAGCAGATTTGCCACCCGGGTGATGGCAACGCGGCCCTCCTGCATGGTGAGAGAAAGCGGGGAGGGGAACAGAGCACTGAATCCACATTTGCAGAGTTCTGCCCCAAACCTGCTTCTAGGGGTCTGGCTCGCGGCATCTCGAGGCCCTGCTCTCCCACATTAAGATACCAAGGAGTCGTTGGGAAGATAGTGTGGCAGAGGGGTTAAGGGCCCTCAACTCAGATTTTACTCCTGCTTTGAGAAGGGCCTGCAAAGCAGCCCAACCACGCCCTTCCCCTTTCTGTGCCTCAGTTTCCCCTCAATCTGCAAGACTGGGGCTGGCCTGTCAAGTGGTTTGAGGTCTACGGATGAAGAGTGCTCAATGCTGCTACTGTCTGTATGCAGAGTCCTTTACACTATGCCAAAGTCAGGTCACACTTGTAAGCCTGGGCCTTGTTTTAGCTGATGTTTACACACCCACACCCTTTACTCCAAGTGGCAGGTGCAAAGTGCTCCCCTGTTTTGTAGTTCTACTTCCCAACAATTAGCATTTCCATCAGGGAGATCTCAAAACACTTGAATAAAGCTCACTGGTCCCCACAACAAGGCACATACCAGACCCATTTTACAGATGGGAGAAACCAAGGCAGGAAGAAGCCACCCACTGGGTGCCAGGATCTCATGTTCAAGCTGCCTGGGTTTATCCCACCTTCCTGCCAGGAGTCCACCGAAACCCTCCCCCCCAACCCAGGTACCATGCAGTCCATCAGGATGAACTTCAAATTGTCTTCATTGAAAGCCTGGTGCCCATTCTTGTCATAGGCCACCCAGATGTTGCTGGCGATGGCAGCTGTGACCCTGGCGTCTGTGTCTCCGTAACCAGAATATGCCAGCAGCGAGCCCTCGTTGTTCAGAAGCCTGGAAAGGAGATGCGGGGAGGAGACAGACTTGAACCCCCATATGTACAGCCCCCAGGGTCTCATGCAGCCTCTCTAAAGTCACAAGTATCCCAAGTGTGACCCCTCCACCCCAAGAGGGAAGTAACCAGCACCCTCCCCTCCCTTTAACACAATACCACCCAGGCAGGTTATACCTTCAGCTGTAAGTGCATCACCCCACGTGTGAAAGAAGATCACCGTCTTATTATTATTATTCAAGGCCGAATCCTTTCCAAATTCAATCGTAAAAACCCAATAATCAAGTATCAAGATTCAACTGAGCAAAGCTCAATTGTCAAGTCTGCGTGACTCTACCACTGGGCAAGTGTCCTCCTTCCCGGACCCATCGGTCTGGGGCTTCAGAAGCTCCCCAAATCCAGGCAGGCATCCTACATATAAGCTACAGAAGCCTTGGGGTTTACATTATAAAAAAAAAAAAAAAAAAAAAAAAGGGGGGGGGAAGGGACCTAAGGAGGTTACATCTGGTCCAAGTCCCTGCTGAAAGCAGGACCAGCCCCAACTACATCATCCCAGCTGAGGCTTTGTCCAGCTGGGGCTCTTAGCCATAAAGAAGATCAGCATCTACCCAGCTCCAGGCAACCTCACCAGCTCCAGGACCCGTGCCCCTGATGGTATGTTTTCTTCCTGCCTGTTGCAGCAACCTTGAAATGCAAGGAAGCCAAGGCATCTTTGGCTCTGGGATTGTTTTGCCGGGGGTGCAACTGGGGAGGTGGGAAAAGATTCCCATGCCCTTAGCTTTAAGGCTGTTGGTTGTAGCCGTGTTGGTCTAAGGACATAGGCAGACAAGGTTCTTTGGGTAAACGTGTTATCTTTTATTCGGCCAACTAAATAGTTGGAAAAATTGTTCTTTGCGAGCTTCTGAAGAAGGGTGTTTATACCCAAAAGCTTGCAAAAACAATTTTTTTTCCAAGTATTTAACTGGTTGAATAATAAAAATCAATCAATAAATCAAATTTACCTAAAGAACCTTGTCTGCCTGTGCCCTTAGCAGTGTCTCACGTCAATGCATGCAAGAACGGGCAGAGCTGGAACGAGCCTGGTTGCACTTCAGCAAACCATGCACAGGCACATCAATGCAGCTAGTCCTGCAAGCTAGTGCCCCAGCCTCCCTGGGCAGGGAGAAGACAGGATTTAGGGGCTAGGCTGGATTACTGCTTTTTACGGCATGCTAGGCTGCATTATATGGCTCCTGGCAGGGATGGAAACCCAGTGGTGCCTGTTTCTATCCTGAATTAGGAGGAGTACAGAGGAAGGAGGCTCAGAGGTACTGAGCTGTGCCCCAGGCTTTGGGGACCCTTTTCATCCAGCCACCCCCTGACTCCCCCATACTCACAGGGTGCTCTGGACCCCCCCGGTGTTGGCCTGGCTCAGCACCTGGGTGAGGGCTTTGGGGCGCAGCATGGTCACCACCGCACGGCTCTTGGCCCTGCAGCAGGGAGGAGAGGAAGGCAGACAGCTCTGAGCTCTGCTTCCCCATCAGCTGATGGCCCCTGGGCGCCCGGAGCAGCCTGGGAGCTGTAGTCCTGGCCTGGCTTCTGCCGAGTCAGGCCCACATGCGACAGGCGCAGGCATTGCATGGCCCTGCCAGCAACTCAGGCTTGCAAGGCAGCTGCAGGCAACCTCCAGGACAGGAGCTAGGCACATGGCCTGCACAAAGATCTTGCTGTCCTCCCCCACCCCTGCCAGCTCAGTTCAGTTTCCCTCTTTAAAAAGCAGAAACATTGCTTAGAGTTACCATATGTCCGGGTTTTCCCAGACACGTCCTCGTTTTGGGTCCTCTGTCCAGGCAGTTTTTTTAAAAATATGAACAAATATCTGGGATTTTGCTCTACTCAGCATCAAATTTTTTTTTCCCCCTTGGCATTTCCCAGCAAGGAGCTGTTTGGGGCTGGGAGGAGCAGGCGAAGGGCAATTGGAGGCAGCGCTAGGGGGCTGCGGGTTGGGAGTGAGAGGCACCAGCATGGCCTGGGGGTGGGCAGGGGCTGAGGGTCAGGAGCAAGATAGATAGATAGGCACACATACACTGAAATATATATTTCTATCTTAACAAGACCAAAATCTTGCTTTAACCCCATGGCAGGCACAACATGGCTGGATCTCCAGCACAGACACTCCCAAACAGCCACGAACGAGATCAACCCCCTTCACACCCCACCGCTACTTACATTTGGGAGCTGGTGATGTGAAAACAGAGAAATGAATGCTCTGATTAATCCCCACGTCCACGTCAGCTTCCCTCCGGCCTGGCTGCAGCATTTTACAGCCCGGGGAAGGGGCGGTGGGTGGGTGTGAGCTCTCCAGCTGGCAGCCCTTAGGGATAATCAGCCCCTGGCTACCCAGAAGCTAACCCCTTTTCCAGCGCAGCCTCTCCGTGCCTCAGTTTCCCCTGTGTCACTTACGGAGCAGAGTTGCGAGGATTGAAAGGGGAGGGGGCTCGTGCTAGTAGGCCAAAAGCTTCCTCTGCAGCACGGCCACGGGATGAAACACCGGCAGCTTGCAAATAAAAATCTGGCCATCGTTAGAGATGACCCAGGAGGGAGCTGGGATGCCTATCCAGAGTGCCAGACACCCCAGAGCTGTACAGGCCAAGCCCGAACCGCTTCCAAACGGGGGTCGGTGAGACTCCCGTGAACATGCCGCTGCAGGGACACGCCAACAGCATGTGTGAACGCAGGGGAGCAACGAGGCTACCGAGCACTGGCTGCCTGCCTTGGCACAGAGGGAACCGGGCACCGCTGTGGTGCTGGTGCAGGCTGTGGATGGGTTCCCCACACCCAAGTCTCCGATCAGGAGCACTGGGAAGTAATGAAGAAATCCCTGTCGGCACAGGAGCGGAGCGGGGGGAGAATCCCGCTATGCTGCCAGCAGTACGGGGCATGTGACACGGTTCAGGAAGGGGCCGTGGGCTGCTTAGTAGGAGCGTTGCCAGCAGGTGGAGGGCAGCGATTCCTCCCCTCTGTTCTGCAGTGGTGAGCCCACATCTGGAGTCCTGTGTCCAGTTGTGGCCCCTCCACTGCAGAAAGGAGGTGGGCAGTTGGAGAGAGTCCGGCGGAGGGCAACGAAAATGTTTTGGGGGCTCAATTTGTGATTCGGTGATTTAGAGGCTGGTCCTGTCGCTGCAGCAGCCAGCAGCGCTGGGGGCCTCGGGGGGCAGCCCCAGTCGCAGCATGGCTGGATCCCCCTGCCAGTCCAGAGGGGAGGCTCACATGGACGGGGGGCTGCGGGGAGGGGTCACCGGGGCCTGGAGCTCATGACAGTCACCAAGGGCCATGCATACCCTTCCCCACATCCAGCATGCCTCTCCCCCCAGGGGCATGCATACCCCCTGCACACAGCGTGCCTCAGTTTCCCCACCCAGATGCATGCATACCCCCATGCACACACACAGCGTGTCTCAGTTTCCCCCGCAAGGGGCATGCATAGCGCCCCCCGCCCCCCCCGTGCCTCAGTTTCCCCACCAAGCCCCTCC